GTCGTCCAGAAATCGCAGAAGGATGATTGTATCGCCTGCTCAATGCCGGTCAAATCAGTGACTTCTTTTGAACTTACAAGAAAATACTCTGGGTTCATGTTAAGTCACCCCTCTCCATGGTTCTGTTATATCTGCCCACGATGCAGGGTAACCAAGGAACTAGCGAAGCCACAGGCCCCACCCAAAATCAGCTCAAAAGTCCCTGCGGATTGTAGAATCCTTTTTGAATGTTTTGTTTTTGGAAAATCCCTCCATGTATATATATTTGTGTTATGACATGACTGACTCTTTCTGTCAACATTTTGGTACTTTATTTGATTCCATTTTGAGATTTTATCATTGTATATTGTTATTATTTCCATATTTTGTACTTATATTGAAGTTTTTATGTTTGCTTCTGGACTGTACACATGTTGTTTAAATTTGATATTTTAATATGGCTACAGCCATATTTGGACTTGATACCGAGGCAGTTAATACTAATATCACTTATGCTTTTGGATTTTGATACCCATCAGGGTAATTTTCGACTTGGAAGGTGTATTAATTGTTAGGTAAATGTTTGTATTTCCATTTTATCATAAATATAGACCACTTTCTCCTAGAATTATTGTGTTCTGATATTGGACTAGGGGAGGGTGCGTTCGACCTACACCTATTGAAATCGAATTGAACTGCTACGGCAGAAAATTCAACTACACGGATAAACCTAAATCGCCCGGCACTAAACCCGTGAAGCAGGCGATCAAAGCAGCCTAAAACCAAACCAACACACCGACAAAACTACCGGTTGTTGTTGACCTCCTGGTATCTGTTAACAATACGGAACAGTGGGTGAATTTAAAGAAGGGGGACTGCAACATCTGAAATAACGGAAGGCTACCAATCATGGATAGGGATGGTAGACTAAATTCAATTATTTTATTTCATGTTCCAGTGTCGGAGGGTAGCTTACTAGAAGGTAGGGCTGCCTCTGATAAAGAACAACGGGACAAGTATTGCGCATTCCTCAGGATGTGCAATATTCCGGTAAAAATGTCACCTTTTCGAGGGCCGGAACGTCTAGAAAGGGAAAACCCTCCAACGAGGGTAACACTAGACTCAACACAACTTGCCGAAGATATCCTCCTCCCATCCCGGAGACTCGGTTAAACCGTCCTCCTCGATCTGCATCAGGCATGATTAACAGTGTTCGGTAAGGGCAGCAGCCAGGATATCACAAAGCACTCAAGAGCAGAACAGTACGGTAGTTCACAGCGAACCCGAACTGAATTGTGGTAGCTTGGGTTAAGCTCGCGTGCACGATGTGTAACGGTGGCGATGGCTACCACGATCCCTGGGTATTAAAACTATAATGCCAAATCACATTTCTAGGCTGCCTCGCCCGTCACACCTCACGTCCATTAAGTCGCCAAGTCTGATTGCTGTGGAATTCAAGAATCGGGAAGACTTAACTGAGGCGCCTGAGGCCGGGTATGGCTCCAAAAACGACCTCTCCAGCCACATTATATGTCGTGAAAGCCCACCTATATCTATGAGACAACAGCAGGGAGACAATGATAAACGAAGGAAATTGACAGCTGACCTCGATCAACAAACCCCGGCAAAAGACACGAAGATAATAATCTCGCTGATCGAACCCACTGCATAGACAAATACCTGCAGAAACCAGTTCCCACGGAACTGGCCAACTCGGTTTGAATAACTTGTTTGAAAATCCGACGACGGCTGTTGCTGCAGAGATGCACCAGGTTATGAGACAAATCACCAAGTGCCTCTATAGCAAAGTAAGAAGAATAAGGGGTAAGCTGTTTGAAATCAGGAATATGTGCTCTCAGATGGATCTTAAGATCATAATCTTAACTGGAACATGGCTATCCTCTAGCCTTGCAGACGGCGAAATGAGCTCGTAAGACATGATAATCTTCAGAGGCGATGGGGCACACCAGACAGGAGAAGTGGCTAAATATGTTAACGGCCATTTAAAAGCCGAGAGGCTATCGGGCACCAAACTAACTGAGGTGACAGAATCATGTTCGTGTTGCTTCCACACAGCTGGCATGAAATACGTCATTGGAAGGATTCACCGGCTTCCCTCAAGTACGAAGGCTAAGAAAGCCCACAAAGACAAACTGACAAAGACAGTACTGTAACTGCCACCACTTGGGTTTGATCAAATACTCTTGGCTGGAGATTTTAACACCCCCTCTCCCCATCAGTAAGGGTATAGCTCTCACCGGTTGGTTCCAAAGAATACTTGGCTCAGCCATTCGAAGCTCTGGGCTCACTGAGCATGTATGCAGTGCCACTAGATGGACTACGGAGGGAAAATTCTCGAACCTGGATTATTTGTTAACAAATGATCAACTCCCGGTCGGGGATGTTCACGTCCATACACCAATGGAAAGTAGTGACCGTATCACAGTCTTGTTTCACACGGTCATAAACGAAACACCAAGGCAGTCCGAAAACAAGCCCCAACCTTGCTACACTAGGGAGAATTACACGAGCATGCAAGAGAACCTTCTACATGCCCTATGGTCACGGGAATGGCGGAGGCTGACAATAGATGATCACTGGCAAACACTGAAAAACATAATCCAGAAAATGTACCTCAGTCACACCACACACCCGGAAGTAGAAGAACATGGGTTCGAAGCGGCACTGAACGCTTACTATATACGAAGAGGAGAGCATGGCACAAGTGGAAGATCTCCTTGAAGGAATTCGATCGTATTTATTACGTGGCATTGAGAAACAGATGCAATGCCAAAGTTCTAAGTGATAGGAGACGTTTTCTGATGAAGCCAGCTTTCCAAATACAGACAAACCCTAAGCGTTTGTTTAGGTTGATGACAAAAAGAAAGCCTATGAATTAGGGTTTGTGTTCCATTGAAGGTCCGAATGGAGAAGACTTCACCAACCTAGAGATGGCTGAGATCTTCCACACGAATTTCACTGATCAGTTAAGCCAGATATCCGTATGTTCAGAGTACTACGCAATCCCATTACCAGCTGACGGCTTAGGTAATATCCGTATTATTCCTGACTTAGTGCTCCAGAAATTAAAATCCTTATGCCCAGTAAAGTCACCAGGTTGTGCCAGCATTCTCCCCATAGTTATGAAACAATGTGCAGAAGCCCCCACCTCACCGAAATGTGACCTGGTTAGGCATTCAATGGAGTCACACCAACTCCCAGATGAATAGAAACAAGCCACTCTCTGTCTCTAAACTCCAAAAGAGGAGATAGGAAGGACCCAGCCCGTTACAGACCAGTCGCATTACCACCAATACTACCGAAGGTAATGGAAGGGCTAATGAACGGACAAATGTGGGATTATATGAAAAAGAACAAGATAGTCCATGAAGCTCTACACGGGTTTCGGAAAAGCAGGTCGTAAGCATCCAAAATTCTCACATCATGGGGGAGTTGGACAACTTGCTGGAAGCGAAAAATACCAGTGCACATGATATTTCCAGACTTTGAAAAAAGCGTCTGACATGGTACCCCATGCACACCTAATCGCGAAGGTTGAGGAAATAGGTTTCACTGACACATCCCTACCTTGAGAATAAAAAGTTTCGCATCAAGGTAAATGGACTGCACGCGAGTAGGCGAGTTTCAACACCGGGAGTTTCACAGGGAACCATCTTAGGTCCAATTTTCTTTCTGGTATTCATCAACGACCTGTTAGACACAGCTCAGTGGTGTTGGTCTACACGGACGATGCAAAGATCAGGAGGTCCATTAGAAGCGAATAGGATTCGAATGAGCTTCAAAAGGACCTTACATTCGTTAAGGAGTGGGCAGCGAAAACATTTTAAAACTAAAGCAGTCACGTCATGCACATTCTGCCCCACAAGACGCAAACGATTTACACGCTCAGTTGAAGTTCGATCACTAACGTCTCCTCGGAGTGAGATCTCGGTTCGATAACCACTATAAGCCTGCACACCAATTCGAACTATATAGGGGACGCAGCCAAGGCAAATACAACTCTTAATCTTATGCGAAGACAACTTGGTGCTATCTTCCCAGAATTATTCTAAACGTTCTTGAAGACACGCACACGTCCACACCTTGAGGTCCAAAGCGTTGTCACACTCTCTCTCCTTACAAGAGACATATTCTCTGGGATCGAATGAAGAGATGAGCAACGAAATGGGTGATGGGGTTGAAAAATAAAACTTACAAAAATAGGCTCTAGCAGTCAGGATTATTCTCCCTGATTTAAGGGAGAATCAGAGGCGGTCTGATTATGGCGTACAACATATTAAGCAGGCCAAACCATCCCAACATGAGCGTCTGATCGAAGCATCACCACCACGTCTCTCGAGGTTTTCCTCGAAAAATTTCACATCAGGGAGCGTATACTCAGGTTCGCACACACTTCTCATTAAGAGTCGTTGCGACCTAGAATACTCTCCTAGCCGAGGTGACCGCAGCTCTCTCAGTGGGCAGTTTTATGAAGAAACTTAATAATCAAGTAGTCACCAGATGATCATTATGTCTAGCTGTGTCTGATACATATCTTGAGACATGCTAGTTTTTATTATTGCGGTCTCCTCAGACCATTAACTTGATCTATCTCGTCCATCATCTCTGCTTACTCTCCCCTGCTTATACTTCGGTCCTCTTTCACAATCTTCACTACCAATTAATAAACTAAATCATCTATATATTACTTAGTTCTGAAATTGTATTCATATTAGCATTAGAATTTTCTCCTTATTATTCCCCACATTGCAACTAACTGATCTTCGGCCTGATAATGTGATAGCTGCTGGTATCCAGAAATCTTACTGTCCTGAAACAAACGTTCTCTTTCGAATCACGGGACTTAATAGCTCACAAACAACTGTCAACTGACTAGAATTAGGAAGTCGAGTGGCTATACCTCCATCTATCGGACACTACCAAACACCTGAAACCGTACCGAAAGAACAAGAATCGAGCCTAAACAAATCATTTGGCTTATGCGAGCTAGTGAAAAAGATATTGGATATTGGAGGTGATTAGCAACCTTATTCAAAGCGCAATGCTACTTGGTTGTCGCCGAACATCAGGGTGTCTTAATTCAAGGCTTGTGTTATTACTGATTATTTTCAATTAGTCATCTTCAGATGGCGAGGCTGGCACCGGGAGTAAAGTATCTCCAAAGATGCCTGCCACCGCTTAACTCCAAAACGTAATTTTTTTGTCGCTCATCATTTTAAAAATTTTAGCGGTTGCGTGCATATTTTTTTCTTCACTTTGGTGATATACACATGCTACCACCTATCGCGAAAACCAATTAGTATTGTAAAGTCAGTACTACACCACAATTGTTCCGAAGAGGCTCGCAAGGAGGGAAAAGTCATAGTTCCTGGCAATGAAACATTTTGTGATTGGGCTCCTTTTGGTATGTGTTTGCGAACTGACAATTTTGAGTCCTAATTATTGTGTTAGATGGTCAAAATTATGACTCTCTTTTTGGAGCACTTGACCTTATCTTCCTTTCCTTTTATGCCGTCAGCATGTTCTTAAGGTGAGTTGATGATTCACTTTTGTATTCATGCTGATACATCAGTAGAGACAATTTCCTTTATGTCCTACAGACCTAGCCTTTGTGTATAAGTTTTTCAGTTATCGAATTTTCCCAGTACAAAATACTTCAAGAACTGTCTTTTTTCAATCTTGCATATTAAAGTAAATAATACACAATGATGGATTGTCTGTGGAATGCAGTAACACTCCAACTATATAGCATCGGGAAGACAGGTGTCTTTCGGAAATTCGTTGACTAGGACTGTTATTAAATGTTGATGTATCAATTCTGATTTCGAACCATCCCCCCATACAACTAATGTGACTAAAATCTAGGCTTGTATATCATTACTGGGATGTCTAGGGAGCTCTTTCATTTCTCAAAAAGCTTTCATTAATCATCAGGAGGTCAGGATTAACAATACTGGAATTATTGGAGAAAATATGGGATTTTGCAACTCCACGACTCAGCGTAAATGTTGGGACAGGCCTATCCTATACATTTAAAAAGTGGGATGATACGCGTTATGAAGTTATTCTTCTGGATGTTCCCCCTTTTTGAACTTCATGTTCATCAACTCGAGATCTAAGTCATCTAAAAACTGATTTAGATGATAAAACTCAAGTCTCAGGGCATGTTTTCATAGAAACCTAATTATTTGGAAAAATGGTTCGTAGAATCCTATCATGTAAATCTGTTACAATTAATTCTACTATAACATTATCAAAGTAAGTTTAACCAGCTTCCATATTTTTTCAATTTGTTATGTACGCCTGAAACTCAATAGATATGGGAAAAATGTAATAAAAACAGGAAGAATAATGTAATGAAGCTTTTCTATTTATTAAAATAAAAGATGATACAAAGAAGAAACAAAATTTATACGTGCCATAAATTACTGACTATGCGTGTACTGGGATACTGTTCGGTCGTATAAACCGAAGCAGGCAGTTTTCGTAGGGAGCCACTTTCCGAACCTTTGACATATCGATTTAAGCCAAAAGATAGTGGGGCGACGCTAGAGATGCTGGTAACCAACAACAGGTGTATATGTCATTTTTTTCCCTCAGGATTCTGGAGCCTATGTACTCCACCATTTTTGAATGAGGGTTTTCCAACTGTTTGTGAATCCTCCACACCAATCGACCCGGTTTCAGTACCGGCCACTCGCTTTTATTCTCTCAATTTTGTGAGCAATGCAGACAAACAAACAGACAAATACAACTCAGAACTTCGTATGCAAGTACATCAGTTCAGGTTGCCATACTGCATCAGCACAGAGACGCAATACCCTGGTTATGAGAGAGAGCAATAATTAGTTCCCTGGCAATGGCTATACACGCGTTCACATATATGAGAGCAATCCCAGTTATTGGCTATACCAGGGCATTAGCAATACAGACTGTCTCACTAAAACATGCTACTTTTTATAATTTATCAGTAATGTATATATTTATCTTATTATAGTGGACATGTTGCAGATAAACTTGACCTTCGGATTTACCTATGCTTTGGTACTCTTCTTTCTGGTATTACAACAGTAGCTTTTGGTCTTGGATACTTTTTAAATATTCATTCGTTTGCTTACTATGCAGTTGTTCAGGTAAGT